TTGTCATGGTTTTTCTCCCTCCTGCCTCCACAATACATGCATTATGATCTTGGTCCCACACAAATAGCTTGATGTTACCCTGATACTGTTTTCACCCTGCACAGTCCTGATTGTGTAGTCTCAAATTCTTCTATGTTTCTCTGTGCCTCTTCCATGTTCAATTTGTACCCATTGTTAACAGCTCCATAGATCAACTTTTGCCTAATTCAAAACCACATTTCTGAATTGAGGGAGCAGCACTTAAATTTCTCTTAAATGTTATAGCATCTGACATCAGATTTTTTTTTTTTTTTGTGGGGGAGGAGTTCACATTTTTTAAAGGATGCAAACAAACCCATTTCCCTCAAAAGAAAGGGAGAATGGTAATAGCATTACAGCAGTTGGCTAAAGAGCATTGGTAGGAAAGCCTTTGGAACCAAAAAGGGTCCTGCCAGTCCTCTTCAGCTGGAAAAATGGTGACCAGGGTAGATGGGAGGGAGTGCAAGAGCTCAAGAGTGAGATTTGTAGAAGCAGGAATGCAACTTCAAGGCAGAAGGAAAGGCTTTGTCTGGTCAAATGGGAAGAAAGGGGTCTTGTCTCCTTTTAAGGGATCTTTTCCTTCTTATGTGGGGAAGTAAGGCAGGGTGGTCTTTGCCTGAGCTGAGAGTTGACCAGAGGTGCTCAGGTGAGCCATCATCCTTACACACCAGAGTTGTATATAACTACTTTTCCTGCCCACGGGAGCGGTCTCATACCCTGATGAGCAACTCCTTCCTGCAAGATCACAGCAGGACCAGGTTTTGTGTCCTGCTGTCAGCACTGGACTGAGACTGGAAAAGAATGTACTTCCCTTATTGCTACATTGGGGAAGGTAAAAGACACCCACCCTGCCCTGGTCAAAGTAGCTCCTGGTTGGGTAGGTTAGGGAATATGGTTCAATTTATTGCAGCTTAGCAGGTATCATTGCAGGTACTTGTTCTACAGTGTATCTAGTTTCTTAAGAAACTGGAGGTGGAAGTGCATTTTGGAGAAGGAACCCATTAAAGAAGCTGGGGAGCAGGGTTATGGCTTCTAACAGCTGGTACAGTGAAGAGACTTCTAACAGCTGGTACAGTGTTTCTCCAAACTCTCAACTGTCATACGGGGGGAGTCAGTGAGGTCACAAACAGGCTACGACTCAGGGATGGGTGGGACAAGAGGAAGGAACAGAATGACTTCTGTTGGTCATTCTAGATAACTCCCAGCTGATGACTCCCTTGCTTTTTCTTTCCCCCATATCCTGGAAAAATGGGAATTATTAAGAACTTGACAAAGACAAAAGCCTTCTTTTCTCAAGCCCCACAAAAATCAGAAATCTGACACACTTTAGATTTTGTGTAATGTCAGTGAGGTCAGTGGCAATTTTGATGTTTGTTTCCATAGAAGCAAGATCAAGTTTTTAGGATAGATTCTTAATACTATTAATAAATAAGTAACAGAATGTCAGGGAAACTTTTTGAAGTGAGTTTAAGTGGCTTGCATGCGGCGGCAACAGCCACCACTCACCACCCTGTGCTGCCACCACTCTGCATATGGCTGCTGGGGGTTTTCAGTTACTGGACTTATTATATAACTGGCAATCCCTTTACCCTTAGGATGCTGGGTAACAGATTTTACTGTACATCTATATTATGTTACCAGTTCTGATAATTTCAGATGCCACTGAATTAGTAGTAGCTGGTAAAAGGTGCTTATTTTTTTTCCTTTCTCCTCTTTCTTAATTTTTCCTCTTGTGACAGGGAAACTACCAAGAACTTCTTCAATTCACAGTTTGGGAGCTTATTCAGAACCGACCAGAATCCAACCTATTTTCTACGGCGGTTGTCTCGATTTGCTGATATTTACATGGCATCACTCAGTTGTCTCTTGAACTATGATCCCAACTACACATTTTATCCAAGGAGGACTCCTTTGCAGCATGAGCTCCCTACCTGGTCAGATCAGCTGTGTACTGGTACATTCAGAATACCTTTCCTACAAGAGATGCTTCAGATCAAATGAGTACTGGGCTTGTTCATCAGTGTCATTAGTCCTCCCCACCAATGAGTGCATCTACCCAACTCATTTTATCAGAATGTAGATGCCCTTCTGTAAAGCATCTAGTGAAGTGATTCTCAACAAGGGCTGCAGCACTTTGGGGTGCAGTGAGACCCTTTTAAGGTGCCATAGAATATTAGCACTCTTAGGTGTGCAAACCCCTACATATGATTCGCAAGATAAAACCAGGGATTTTAAATAGGAACCCACAATTTCATCAACATTCTGATTTATTGTGGTCTTTCTGAGTTATTTGCAACAGAAGAGTTGTTCTATCATTGTGAAAGCTAAGAGCTGGCATTTTCCAAGGGGTGCCTTCAGTCTAAAAGCATTGAGAAACACTCATCTTGCACATCCATATTGCCTATCTTGAGCTGGTCTACATTAACAGACCAAGAATTTATGCATTATTGTCCTCTTCTCTTCTCTATGTGTAACTGCTCTTAAAAGTGGAGTTTGTTACATTTGCACATGGAGGGGAACATTGACCTTCAAGAATGTTAGCTGGAAAAACAGATTTTTTTCCCCATAGCAAAACTCCTCTCCGCATCCTTCCGGTTTACGGAGACAAAAATGTTTATTTCCTTTTGGCACTAGAGCTCCAGCTGGTGACTGATTATATTCTGACACAATGGAAAATGTTGAAGTTCATTTTTTAATTCGGAGCACTATTGTCCGGTTGACTGTGAGGTGGGAGGGTCAGGTATAGTGTAGTATAGTAACTTCCCTTGCCATATTTCAAAATATAATGGCTTTTAATCATGTCCTACAGAGAGCAGGCCTATGCTTCAGTCACAACAATGATTGCATTGCAGTGCACTGTAGTGACTGCACCTGAGCTAGCTTCGAATTAGCTAGTACAGGAACCAGTAGGAATGTAGACTCCATAGCATAGAGCTCAGCCCAGGCCTTAAGCTGTGGTAGGTTCTGGGGTAGGTGTTCAACCCTGCACTGAGTTGTGCAGTGCTGCAGCTAAACAGCTTCGAGCTAGTTTGTTCAGAACTAGCTCAGGTGTTTCTATAATATACTGCAGTTACAATGGGGATTGCAGTTGTGGACATACTCTGAGATTCATAGCTAAGAGGCTGCTTTTTCTGCCTGTGTGTGCATTTATGTTAGCATAGCATCATACTTTGTTCCACCTATGACAAAAAAACGTAAGCTTTGTCCATGTACAAGTGTGACTAGTAATACTTTTTTAACTTTTGTGGTCAGCTTAATGCACCTTGAATTAACATAATTTTCAGAAAGTGCTGAACCGCCTTCCCTCTGGTATGTGGAATTATGCATCTTTTGAAAACTGGGAACCATAGTTCTCCACAAAAGACGGCATTTGAACACTAAATCAGCATGCAGCTTTTTTCCATTGTTGAATGATGTCTTATAATGTTTTATATGTATTTATGAAAATGGTTTTATGTAACCTTTGAAATTTCAAAAGATGTGCATGACTGGCCAAAGAACTTTATAAAGTAAGACAAGGAAAACTGAAAAGGAAATATCCAATTAATTTTTTGGTTAAAACTGTCAACTGTCAAAGTTGAGGTGAGAGACTAATTGGATAGAGTGAAATAACTGTGACTGTATGGACTAGCAAGAATATTTATTTAAAGTACTGATGTCCTATGTTAATAGATGAGCAGGAACTTCACACTGTACAGTTCTTGATGTTTCAAAGACTGAACTGAAGTTTACCTGTATTTCGCACAAAGGAAGCATCTTATGACACGTTTCCTGAAACAGGCACTTTATTAAACCACTAGAGAAGTGTTTTCTATATGGGGTCTTTTCCTGTTCTGTGGCCAAAAGAGAGCTTTCTCTCATCAGTGCTTCCCTACCCAGCCATTTTAGGACCTCCATAGTTTGATTCAATTTCATAGTTTCATAGTTGGTAGGGTTGGAAGGGACCTGAGCA